TTCTTTTACCTCACAGGGTGACTGTTGTGGGGAGGGGAAGGGAAAGGAGTTTGTAAGCCGCTCTGAGACACCTTTGGGTAGTGAAGGGCGGGGTATAAATCCAATCTCCTCCTCCTCTTTCACTTCGCATCCCATCCCTTCCCCTCCCCACAACAGACACCCTGTGGGGTAGGCTGGGCTGAGAGAGCTCTTTCAAGGACTGCCCTTTTGAGGACAGCTCTTGTCAGAACGATGGCTTGCCCAAGGTCATCCTGCAGCTGCAAGTGGCTCCTTCCTGGGTTGCTACCACCCATCTAGCCTCAGATGGTGGGGACGCCCGAAGTAGAACCCCCGAAGGGCTGGGGCTTATTAGGAAGGGGACTGAAAACGAATCAGCCAGTATCATAATGCCCCCGTATAAATCGACGGCGCGGACTCATTTGGAGTACCGTGTACAGTTCTGGTCACCACACCTCAAAAAAGGATATCATAGCGTTGGAGAAGGTGCAGAAAAGGGCGACTAAAGTGATTAAGGGGACGGGATGCCTTCCCTGTGAAGAAAGGTTGAAGATGGCACCCACGAGCACCTTTCCTGGCTCCCAAGTGTTTTTAGAAAGTGGGCGGAGCCAGGTGGAGCTTTTGCCTCCCGGGGCTTCTGATTCGCCATTGGATATCTGACTGGCTGTGCAGATTTTTAAAAACAACAACTGATCTTCACTGTGTGACTGAAGCTGAGCTACGTAGATGTAAAAAATATACTAAAACAATGCGTTCATTTTAAAAGGCATCCCCTGAAGCAGAGCTTCTGCCTGAAACGTTGAAGAGCTAATATGAGAATGGCGCCCTGACACTTTGTGGTTGGCTCCGCCTCCTCTGGCAGCCATTTTGTGGCTGGCTCCGCCTCCTCTGGCAGCCACTTTGTGGCTGGCTTTACTTCCTGCGGCCGCCATTTTGTGGTTGCACCCACCAACACCCCCGTGTCACAATTCCAAAGGTACCCACCACAAGCTTGAAAAGTTCTGGGATCCTGGCTTACAACCTCTAACAAACATGGTCTGCCCCACCAATGCAGGTTCAAGAACTCCAGAGTCCGCCGCGAGCCAGCCAGGTGGTAAAAGACTGTGTGAAGGCCTGCCTCAACTCAACATACGAGTACATCTTCAACAACTGCCACGAACTCTACAGCCGCGAGTATCAGACCGACCCGGTGAGTGGCTGGAGCAGACCCCTGCACACAGCTGCCTAAAATATAGGGTTGTCAGGTCCCCTCGTCGCTGCGGCGGGTGGATTTGGGGGGCATTCTGGGGGTGGGCGGCATGTTGTGTGCAACATCCCCGGTGCCATGATGTCATCCGGTAGTGATGTCATCGTCTCGGTGATGTCACAAGCGACTCTCTGGTTTAGGGGCAAAAACTAGGGCCTTGCTGCATGACATCGCTAACGTGATGATGACATCACTTCCGGGTGATGTCATCATGCAGGTGAGGTCGAGCAGCAACATCCCTGTTTGGGGGTGGGGTTCCCCCCACCAGCCACCTGGCTGATGGCAGATTGGAGCCCTCAAAAGCGGGGGGGACCCCTGCCGGGAACTGGCAGCTGGCAAGCCTACTAAAATACGAGGGGTCTCAGACTGGGGACCCTGATAGGCTGGCTCAACCTCTCACTCTCTGCCCTGCCATGCATCACTTGCCAGAACAGGGAGGTGAACATGCCTGGAGCCTCTTACCCGCTTCACTTGAGGCCTGCGGCTGGCCAGGACATGCTCCTGCAGCCTGCTCTCACACAACTCTGGCCACTTGACAGTTGACACAGAAAGGTGCCAAGGAGTTCCTTTGTAAATCCCCAGAATCTGGACTGGCATTCCAGTCTGAGCCATTTCGCCATTACGGTTGTCGGATTGCCTGTTACAGCCTTCCCCTTTCTTCCCTGGTGTTAGGAGAATTAGGAGCGTAGGCAGGGGTCATTTCGTAGAAAAAGAGGTGCAGGAGCTCATTAGCATAACTTATTTGCATATGCCACACCCCCTGACATCACCGGAAATGTGTCAGAAGGCAACACCCACCGCTCAGGCTCCACTGGAACGTTTTGGATTGCTAGCTACGGGGGGGGGGGAGAACGTGCAGATCTGTCCTCACAGAGGAGGGAGAGCTTGTACAGGGAGGGCTTGTACCTGAATAAAACTTGGTCTTCAAACTGCCACTGGGCTGTTTTGGACTGCTATCTGGGGGGGGGGGGCTGCAACTTACCTGGCTGCTTCTTGCTCCTCGTGGCCCGGGGCTGCTGGGAGCAGGGGGCTGGGCTTGTTGCATGTGCCCGCCCCCTGGGCTCTTTACTGCCAGAGCTCTGCTCCTATGTGCTCCTGCAGGAAATGACCCCTGAGTGAAGGACTCCCATCCCCACCCAGCTCGATACAGGAGGGGGATGGAAGCTGGCAGGGACCCCTCTAGAGCGAGAGAGAGAGAGAGAGAGAGAGAGAGAGAGCGCTGTTCCAAAGTAACTCTGATTTATTGAAGTACAAAACCATAATGCAGAAATTTTCAAACAAATAGCAATTTAGTATCCATCATACGTGGGGGGGAACCCCAATATCTTTTAGAAACAGAGTGCACTTGTAGAAATAATCTATTAGGAATATATATTCCGGCCATTTGTCAAGGACCGACAAAGAAGGTGGTTGGCAAAGGGCCCTGAGCAAACACTGGCTGATTCTGCACCCACCTGTTTCCTCGCAGTTTTCCCACAGCCACGTTGGGAGGTTAATCTCCCTCTGCACTGCATGTCCCTTTCACTTTCTTTGTTCATCGGGTTTCGTGGTACCTTCTGCATAGATTTATGGCCGTTCAGGGGTGACTTCGCAGTCAGTACGGCGTCGCTGCGGGGGATCTGCATGTGGTTCCGAGCTGCACCTTTTCCTTCCTCCGCTTCCAAGTTGAAGGGGACAGTAAGCAGACAACTTGACACGGCTTCATTGACCTCTGTCAGTTCCCCTGCCACTATTTCCCTCTCTGTTTTTATAACCTCACCATGAATTACTTTGCTTTGGTGGCTAATGACGGCTGAGGCAAGTACTGACACAGGAAGATCTGCATACCAATGTTGGAGCGAGCATTGGAAAAAAAAAATAGATGGCAAGCTGACACTAGCCAGTGCAGAAACCAGGATCCAAGGCAATGCAGTGAAAACAGATATTCTGAGGCAAGGAGGAACCAGGTCGAGTGCTGAGAACACATGGAGCGAATGCCAGATGCAGAATGGAGCTTTCAAGAGTCAAAACTCCCTTCGTCAGATACGAGTAGGAATGGAGACCTCCGAGTCTTTATATCCCAGTCAGAAGGTAGGGAGCAGAGCATGTTGTAAAGAAAAAACTCAAGATGCCAAGGTGCCATGCATATTGTAATCAACTTGATTGGAGCAGAGGGGGGCAGAAATTTAGCATCTGTAGTGAGATAAGAATCCTATGTCCTTCTTCAGCCCAGGGGGTTTTCAATTGTTCTGAACTTGTGAATGAACTCAAGTTCAGCAATCTCCCCGTGAAGTTTCTTTGTTCAAGGACTGTCACTCACCTTCTGACTGGGATATAAAGACTCAGAGATCTCCAGTCTTACTTGTATCTGACAAAGGGAGTGTTGACTCTCAAAAGCCTACACCCCCAAAATCTTCTTTGTCTCTAAGGTGCTACTGTTATCCCCCCCTGAAACCCTGAACCTTTGGAGTGGTGGGAGCAGGAAATATTCATTGGGTTAACCGGTCAGTCAATGAAAACCTAAGGCGATCCCTCCTGCGAAAGACCAGAGGGCTTATCTAGTCCAGGTTTCTGTTTCTGACCCTGGCAGAGCGAAAATAAGACATTGGAGGGTTGAGCATTCCTGGAACGGAGGACCAGCACTGGCATTTACCCATAGTAGCTAAAAGGAACCTTCATGATGTGCAGAGGGGAATTCAGAGGGGTCACTCAGAGAGAACTGTAAATGTGAGGCTGCCCCAGAGCTGACCCCTCTTCTGTTTGGATTTTTTTTTTTCCCCTTTAGACCAAGAAGGGAGAGGTACCACCAGAGGAACAAGGCCCCAGCATCAAGTAGAGGGGTCACTCAGAGAGAACTGCAAATGTGAGGCTGCCCCAGAGCTGATCTCTCTTCTGTTTGGATTTTTTTTCCTCTTTAGACCAAGAAGGGAGAGGTGCCACCAGAGGAACAAGGCCCCAGCATCAAGAATCTGGATTTCTGGTCCAAACTTATCACCTTGATAGTGTCGATCATTGAGGAAGACAAGAACTCATACACACCCTGCCTCAACCAGTAAGTATGTGAGAATTGTGAGCGTTGACCTTGTGTATGTATTGAAGCTCAAATCCTTTGGCCACCCGATGAGAAGGGAGCACTCCCTGAAGGAGACCCTGATGCTGGGAAAGATTGAAGGTCAAAGAAGACGGGGACGGCAAAGGATGAGATGGTTAGACAGTGTCATAGATGCAACGAACATGAAATTGAGCAAACTTCAGAGGACGGCAGAAGACAGGAGGGCCTGGTGGGAGCTGGTCCATGGGGTCGCGAAGAGACGGACTCAACTGTGCGACTGAACAACAACAACAACATCCCATAATAATTAAAAGTAGCTGTACGGGTCCTCATACATTGTCACCCAGATGCGGAATGTAATTCATCTCTATGCATAAAAGACTGAATCTGAAGCATAGTAAAGCATCGTTCATGTCTCAGCGATCGTTATACTCACGCTGGAAACTTCAAGAGACAGGAAAGGATTTCTGGACTGCACAGTCTATAAAGGAAAGACTGAATCAACTTTGAAGCACAGTAAAGCATCGTTCACATCTCAGCAATCGTTCTACTCACGCTGGAAACTTCAGGAGACAGGAAAGGATTTCTGGACTGCACAGGGCACTTTGGAATTGACAAGAATCGCTTCTAGAGTGGACCGTAGATCTTTCGCGAAATCGAATTTTCTTTTTGTAATGCACCTTGCAAGGAATTGGTGATGTCAATTTTCCTGTTGGTTGATGGTGCATGTTTCATCAGTATGTTGATAGAAAATTCTTAGTAATTTTTTCACGGTTCTGTTTTGGCCTTTTCATCTGCTTTCCGCGATTCTCTCTCGCTTTGCTTATCAACCAGTAAGCATGCAGCAGGGACCGCCCCCCCAAAAAAACAACAACGTTTCAGGTCCTCAGAAGAATGTGGCTGTCTCCAGTGACGACAGCAAGCTGGCAGTCTCCAAAATATCTCCTCTCTTTTTTTCGTTGTTCTCTTCCGTGCCTCCGGCTTTCAGTCTCAGCGTAATAAAGCCAGGGCTATTTTTGGGCAGGAACGCACAGGAACGGAGTTCCGGCTGGCTCCCAAGTTGGCCACACCCAGCAGGAACTCATTAGCATAATAGGCCACACCCAACAGCAGAAACTCATTAGGATTGGCTACATTAGGGGTGTGTGGCCTAACATGCAAAGGAGTTCCTGCTACAAAAAAAGCCTCACAACAAACAAGGTAAACAGAATAACAAGCAAAAGGTGGGTGTGGCTGGATGAGCACACTTCTGGTAACATGAGGGTGTGGCCTAATGTGCTAATGAGCTGTGCTGTCAGGGGTGTGGCCTAATATGCTAATGAGTCTCTGCTGTTGGGTGTGGCCTATTATGCTAATGAGTTCCTGCTGGGCTTTTTCTACAAAAAGGGGGCTGTAAAGTCCTATTCCGCGCGTGTGGTGTCATCAAGGTACAGCCAGTTCTTCGTGTGATCCAGTAGGGTTTCCAAGGCAAGAGATGTTCAGAGGTGGTTTGCCATTGCCTGCCTCTGCGTAGCAACCCTGGACTTCCCGGGTGGTTTCCCCATCCAAACACTGACTAGAGTCAGCCCTGCTCAGCTTCTGAGATCTGATGAGATTTACAGACACAATTTCACAGTTAAAGCAGTGTTTATTAAGCAAGGGAAAGACAGGCAGAGTACTCTTGGCGAGTCCCCTTCCACCTCCCAAAGGCAGGAGAACAACGCAATGCATTCCCACACCGCCACGGAAAGGCGGGGTATAAATGCAATGAAAATAAATAATTTTTTTTTAAAAAAAATAGAATGCCAAGGCGGCAGAAGCTCCTCTGCCGACAGCTGATCACGATGACAAATCTCTTTAGAGTCCAGTGGCATCTTTAAGACCAACAAAGGTTTATTCAAGGCAGGGGTCGTTCCACAGAAAAAGAGGTGCAGGAACTCATTAGCGTAACTCATTTGCATATGCCACACCCCCTGACATCACCGGAGGTGTGTCAGAAGGCAACACCCACCGCTCAGGCTCCACTGGACTGTTTTGGATTGCTAGCTATTGGGGGGGGGAGAGAAACGTGCAGATCTGTCCTCGCAGAGGAGGGAGAGCTTGTACCTGAACAAAACTTGGTCTTAGTCCCACTGGACTGTTTTGGACCAGGGGGCCGGGGGTGGGGGCTCTGCAACTTACCTGGCTGCTTCTTGCTCTGACTGAGGGCTGCTGGGAGCAGGGGGTGGGGCTTGTTGCATGTGCCCGCCCCCTGGGCTCTTTACTGCCAGAGCTCCGCTCCTGTACACTCTTGTAGGAAATGACCCCTGGAACCAAATACTTGCTCCCACTTTGCCACCCAAGGTACATTTTTGAGGGTTGCACAAAGGTGCCAAACCTAGCTTGTTCTCTCGGGATGACTTGGTGCTGTCTCTGACTTCTTCACCAGGTTCCCTCAAGAGCTGAACGTTGGAAAGATCAGCGCCGAAGTGATGTGGAACCTTTTCGCTCAGGATATGAAATATGCAATGGAAGGTGAGTCACTGCACGGCTCGAGCAGCTGCAGCCGGGTGCAAATCCAAAATGGGGGGGGTTGTCTCTTGTGCCACCCAGTTCCCTAGCTCCCTCTCAGTGGGGGGGACTTTCTTTGGCCTTTAGGATGGGGAGGAGTCTTGCTAAGACCAGAAATAGGATTTCCGGTTCTGGGTACTGAAACAGAATGACACGCGATACTTAATTTCCAATCAAACCTAGAATTTTTTTTAAAAACCTATTTAACAACACAAAATGCATACTTTATAACTAAGACAGCATATAAAATTGTACTGTTTGGCATATTTATGGAATTTAAAAATACAGATGTCTTACGGTAGTTTTCTGTAAGGAAACTGCAAAGGTTCCCAGTACTTAAGACAGAGTTGTCAGTTAGTGCATCCTGTGCTACCTTAGCATAGATACCTTGGTTTTTGTTATCTAGCTTGGGCATGGGGGAATTTGAAGGTAGAAAGCAGATTCTGCGGTAAGCAAAAGATTCTGGGGCGGGTGGAGTTTGGGGAGGGGAGGCAGCTCAGAAGGAATGGCACGCCATAGAGTCTGCACTCTGAAGCTGACATTTTCTCCAGGGCGAACCAATCCGTCCGGTCTGCGAATCAGTCATCATCCTGGGAGAACTCCAGGCCCCATTTGGAGTTTGGCAACCATAACCAGGAAAAGTCTCTCTACAGAGCTGAGGGGGGCAGGAAAGACCTTTGGGAGCGTGGTATTCAGCAGAGCCCCATAGCTGCCCAGGGTACAGGAAACCCCTAGAAAGCTGCGGGAAACCCCGAGGAATCCTCCCCGTTCACCCTTTCCCTCTCCTCGACAGAACATGACAAGCATCGTCTGTGCAAGAGCGCCGACTATATGAATTTGCACTTTAAGGTGAAGTGGCTGTATAACGAATACGTCACCGACCTCCCTTCCTTCAAGACCCGAGTCCCCGAATATCCTGCGTAAGTCTAGGGGTGTTTCACGCTTTTTCTTCCCTGCCGTTCCTCTCTTTGTCACAGTTTTATCGCGCCCTTCCTCCCAGGAAGGGAAGAACACAGAGAGCAATCACTAGTCACACTAAACTACTTAACAGGGTTTGTTCAAGCTGTGGTGATGGGAGGTCGCATGACGTGTCTTAATGAATCCCAGTTCAGCACTTTTCACATTGGAGTCTATCTTTGAAGTTCTTTAGCAGAAGATCAGTGAATTTCAGGTCCACAACAGAGTGTCCTAGGAGATGGAAATGTTCCCCTGATTCTTAGTGTCCGATTTGTGTCTATTCTTTTGGACAGGAACTGGCATGGTTGTCCAATAGCCAGGGCTTTTGGCAGAACCCAGTACTGTCACCCCTGCCCCCACACGCTAGCACTCCACCACTCATGCTCCCAGATGCTCTCGTTGCCGGTGCCATTGGGGAAGGAGAGATAAGCAGTGCATGGGGCTGTGAGCATTGGTGATGGGAGGGCCTGCAAGTGGGCAGGCATAAGAACGTAAGAACACAAGGGACGCCAATGATGAATCAGGCCAAAAGCCCATCCAGTCCAACACTCTGGGTCACACAGTGGCCAAAAATACCAGGTGCCCTCAGGAGGTCCAGCAAGTGGGGGCAGGACACTAGAAGCAAGTGGGAGAAATGCAGAAGGGGAGGGGAAAGCAGAGTGTGAGAGGAGGGCCTGGGTTGAGAAGAGGAGAATCCTGGGAACTAAGAACATAAGAGAACATAAGAACATAAGAGAAGCCAATGCTGGATCAGGCCAACGGCCCATCCAGTCCAACACTCTGTGTCACACAGTGGCCAGAAATACCAGGTGATATCAGGAGGTCCAGCAGTGAGGCCAGGACACTAGGAGCCCCCCCACTGTTGCGGGCCCCCCCCCCAAGCACCAAGAAGACAGAGCATCATTTGCCCCAGAGTCCCTATCTATACCTTGTGGCTAATAGCCACCAATGGACCTCTGCTCCATATGCTTATCCAATCCGCTCTTGAAGCTGTCTATGCTTGTAGCCGCCACCACCTCCTGTGGCAGTGAATTCCATGTGTTCATCACTCTTTGGGTGAAGAAGGACTTCCTTTTATCTGTTCTAACCCGACTGCTCAGCAATTTCTTTGGAGGAAGAGCAAGTGGATGAGTCCCGCTTGAGACAGCTGATGATAGAGAACCAGTGTGGTATAGTGGTTAGAGTGCTGGCCTAGGGTCTGGGACACCCAGGTTCAAATTCCCACTCTTGTGACTCTGAGCAAGTCACACGTTCCCAGCCTAAGCTACCTCACATGGTTGTTCTGAGGATAAAAAAGGAGGAGAGGAGTCAGGCCTGTTCTCCTGCCTTTTGCATGGCTGCATTTTAAGAGTCATAGAATGTGAGTGATGGGCCACCTTTACTCCCCACTTATTGCGGATATTCAGTCGCTTAGCATAGCGACAGATTTCTCCACTGTGTTTTTCTTGGTTCTGTTTGGATTTTGGCGTGGTTGTCATTTGCCTTCGCGCTTCCTGCATTCATACCTATTTTCAAACTCACTCCACTGCACCTGAAGCCAATGGCTCTCATCCGTGAACCTTTCTGCTGTTCACCTCGATGGTGCCACGAGACTTCTGTTCATTTGTCTCGGGATTATGTTGGCATTCCAAAGCCAAGGTCGTTTTCTGGACTTGAGTCTTTCCTCTCTTTTTGAATTCAACCAGATGGTTTGAGCCTTTTGTCATACAGTGGCTGGATGAAAATGAGGAAGTTTCGCGAGATTTCCTGCATGGAGCACTGGAACGGGACAAAAAGGACGGGGTAGGTATGCTGCGTTGGAAAGCGGCTATGGCTGAAATGCAATAGAACACATGTTTAAAGTATGGGGAAGCCTTCAAAAGTTCAGTGGTAGAAATTAGGTAGCTGAGGAGATTGTTTTAACGTTTTCCCCATCATGCAGTACTCCCTCTGACCACCTGCGATGGTGGCGCAGCAGAGCAGCATAAATTACTGGCCGCTCCTTGGTGTGTTGCAGGCAGAGGGTCACAGGCTCGATCCTTGGCACGTCCATTTAAAGCCGCTTCAGCCTTTCCAGACCCACTTCTAACCCCCAGGCGACCACATGGCACCCACTGAGCTGTAACCAGGCAACAAATAATCATATGACAAAAATAAAGAAGAGTCAGAGTTACAGTCTCACTGGCATGGGGTGGTGCGTCTGTGTCACAAGTGTGTGTGGAGCACTGGAGGAGCACCTGTAGGGTTGCCAGACCCCCGGTTGGGGTGGGGTTTCCCCCGATTTTGAGGGCTCCAATACACCCCCAGCCAGCTGGCCGGCAGCGGAAGCCCCACCCGCAAACAGCTCCGTCCTGCTGCATCGGAGTGATGATGTCACCTAGAAGTGACATCATCACACTGGGCACATCATGCGGCAGTGCTCTAGCATTTTGACCAAAACTCTACGGTAACCATAGAGTTTTGGTCAAAACGCTAGAGCCTCTCCGTACGACGTCTCCAGCATGTCGATGTCACTTCTGGGTGACGTTGTCATGGGGCACGCATGCCAGAAGATCCAGACTTGGAGCCAGGAGCCCCCTGGTAAGACCTGGCAACCCTAACCGACTGGCAGGGTGGGGGAAATAGAAGGCAAGAGAGGGCTTCTCTGGGGCCGGAGGGGGCTCTCTGAACAGACCTGTGCCGAAAAGGAATGCTATCCACTGCCGAGTGACCTTGACCTCATTCCTGTCGCTCCTCTCGGCAGGTGTGGAAATCAGGGCAGGAGGTGTGACACCCAGGGCTATTTTTGGGCAGGAACGCACAGGAACGGAGTTCCGGCTGGCTCCCGAGTTGGCCACGCCCAGCAGGAACGCATTAGCATAACAGGCCACGCCCAACAGCAGAAACTCATTAGGATTGGCTACATTAGGGGGGTGTGGCCTAACATGCAAAGGAGTTCCTGCTACAAATGGGTTTTGACAACAAACAAGGTAAACAGAATAACAAGCAAAAGGTGGGTGTGGCTGGATAACCACACTTCTGGTAACATGGGGGTGCGGCCTAATGTGGTAATGAGCTGTGCTGTCAGGGGTGTGGCCCAATATGCTAATGAGTTCCTGCTGTTGGGTGTGGCCTATTATGCTAATGAGTTCCTGCTGGGCTTTTTCTACAAAAAGAGCCCTGCGTGACCCTTGCCATCTGGGAAGGGGCTGTGGCTTAGTGCTAGAGCCTCTGGTTGGCCTGCAGAAGGCCCCAGGTTTCATCCCTAACATCTCCAGTTGAAAGATCTGCCAGAAGGTGATGTGAAGACCAAAGCCTGAGACCCTGGAGAGCCGCTGCCAGTCTAAGTAGACAGTACTGACCTTGATGGACACGTATGTTCATGCACTTGTGCATTAGCATCAGGTCCTTCCCCAAGCAACCCCCAAAGGGCAGCTAAGGAAAGGCTCCTAATCCAGCAGTTGGGGCTGTGGCACCCGCCTGGGAGGCCCGGCGTCTTCAGCTGAAGAGCACTGAAGTCTTGGGGAACAGGTGCTGGGAGAGACCTGTCTCTGTTCGAGACTCTGGAGAGCCACCGCCGGTGGGGTAGCCAGAACAGGTGGGAGCCTCGTTTGCATGTGCGGGCCCTGCCGGCGATGGCATCGGTGGCAATGCAATGATGTCACTTCCGGTGCGACCAGAAGTGACATCATCACAGTGCCAGCAACATGATAGCATCCAGGGCTCTTTTTGTAGCAGGAAGTCCTTTGCATATTAGGCGACACACCCCTCGTGTAGCCAATCCTCCAAGAGCTTACAGTAGCCCTTGTAAGAAGAGCTCTGTAAGCTCTTGGAGGATTGGCTACATTAGGGGTGTGTCGCCTAATATGCAAAGGACTTCCTGCTACACAGGGGTCATGTCATAGAAAAAGAGGTGCAGGAGCTCATTAGCATAAGAAGAATAAGAGATTGGATTTATACCCCGCCCTTCACTACCCAAAGGTGTCTCAGAGGGGCTTACAAACTCCTTTCCCTTCCCCTCCCCACAACAGACACCCTGTGAGGTAGGTGGGGCTGAGAGAACTCTTGACAGAAACTGCTCTTTTTCAAGAGCAGCTGTGCCAGAACTATGGCTTGCCCAAGGTCATCCAGCCAGGTGCAAGTGGAGGAGTAGGGAATCAAACCCGGTTCTCCCAGATTAGAGTCCGCACACTTAACCACTACACCAAACTGGCTCACTCATTAGCATAACTTATTTGCATATGCCACACCCCCTGACATCACAAGAAGTGTGTCAGAAGGCAACACCCACCGTTCAGCCTCCACTGGACTGTTTTGGATTGCTAGCTATTGGGGGGGGGAAACATGCAGATCTGTCCTCGCAGAGGAGGGAGAGCTTGTCCCTGAATAAAACTTGGTCTTAAAGGTGCCACTGGACTGTTTTGGACTGGGGGGCCAGGGGGGGCTCTGCAACTTACCTGGCTGCTTCTTGCTCTGACTGAGGGCTTCTGGGAGCAGGGGACGGGGCTTGTTGCATGTGCCCGCCCCCTGGGCTCTTTACTGCCGGAGCTCCGCTCCTTTGCGCTCCTGCAGGAAATGACCCCTGCTGCTACATAAAGAGCCCCGATGGCATCATTTCTGGTCACAGTGGAAATGACGTCATCGAGTCAAGAAACCGCTGATCACCTCCCATTCTCCCCTCCCCCCATTTTCCTCCCACTGTTCAGCTAAGCCACTGTGGGAAATGGCTCGAGCCGGAGATCGGTTGGTTCATATTGCTTCATAAGAAACAAGCCCCCTCTTCATCAGAAGGAACATATATTTGATTTTGCTCTACTGCTTTATGTTAGTGACTGCCTGGGCGACAATCAGTCTCCCCATGTGATGCTGGGATTCTTGGATCAGCTTTTGACATCAAGGAGCAGGCCTGCTACTCCCTGCACCGCTGGGGCTCCTGGGAACGATAAGCAACCTTGAGCGGCCCCAGGAGGTCAGGCAGGGTACTGCATGACAGGGAAAGGGTTAAATAATCTCATGCACTAAATTTCCTCTGCCAGCCTTCTCCAAACTCCACTTGTGTCTCCTGACTTGCAGTTCCATCAGGGCTCCACCAGGATTGCCCACTGGTGGGGTCCTGTGAAGGCGGGGACATGGGGGCACCGTCAGGGAACAGCATTGACATCATTTCCAGGGGAAACCTGGAGGCGACATCATTCCACTCTAGGAATCCCCAGAAATTCTATGGTAAAACCATAGTATATGGGGTGATTCCCCAAATACTATCAGTGGAGTGATGTCACTTCCAGTTTTCCCCCGGAAGTGACGTAATACTGTTGTGGCAACTACGGGGTTTTTTCTCTCTCTCATCCACCGCCAGAGCAGCAGCAGCCAATGAGAGCTGGGGGCGGGAGATTTCCCTGCTCCTGATGGGTAAGTTATAGCAACATCCACTGCAAACATTGGCGGACAAAAATACTAAAGACAGAAAGTATTACAGAAATATTTTGTGTATTTTTAAGGTATACATTTTTGTCACAGGTTCACAATTTGCATAGTTTACACGTACCACATTCAAGTACAGAATTTGGTCATATGTTCATAGTTTCATAGTTTACACGCCCCATATAGTCATGGTTTCATACCATACAGTGATCAAAATATTGTCCTAAATGCCCAAACACATCTTAAAGCGCTTGGCGCTCATTAAATTGCCCGCTGTTTTAAGCAGTCCTAAATTAAGCACGATGTGCCTTCATTGGAATTGTCGGGAGAAGCTGATTTTTGAGGGGGCAGTATGTCAGCTATGCTGCCATGAAAGTTGGGGAGGTTGGTCTGTGTCTGGATAATTGCTATTGCTTTCCTTTCAGGTTAATTGCTATTGCATTCCTTTCTGTGCTTTTTCTGCTGTGCGCCGAAATGCTCATCTATACAGATGTGCAGGAGGGTGTTGTAGTGTCTGAGATTTCATTAGGTGCCGTGGGAGAGTGTTCATTCTCAGCTTCAGCTACCTAACTATCTCTGAACCTTAGCCCGCGCGCGGGAGGCCGCATAATTGGCCAGTACTGTGGGAGGGTGCATACGAATACCCTATATCGTATTATGCCCATGGGGCTGCCGCCATTCTTAACAGTGCCTATGTTACCGGATCTATAGCTTTGCAATAAAAGTATAACCGTTCCTGAATGCATGTACTTCGTTGTTGGCTGTGGGTTCTGACAGTCCTCCAACAATAATACTGTGTCTGGTGTTTTGATTTTAAGAATTCGATGATTCTCTGATCTTCACAATGCTGACATTATAGCTGTCAATTCCAAAATGCTTCAAAGCACTGACCACCAGCATTAACTTCAAGCCCCTGGCAAAACAGCTACATGATCCCTGGGGCTTTTACCCCCAATATACATTTCAGCTGCCCACCTTCCCCTTGGCTTAGCCTTACGCCAGTCAACAGTCTGTATTTTCATAGTAAATTGAGACGCATCCACCATTACCCCAATATGAGCAAAACTCAGTCCTGCGGATTTCATCCACTGGCTTGGATGCACTGATGGGTAAGTGGCGTCTCTAGGTTCCATCCTAATACTGACAACTGCCAGGCAATATTCCCTCTAAGCTGTGGAGTTTTGTAAGCAAAAATTCAACTTTGTGAGCTACTGGCATTAAAGTTGTGAGCAAGCATTTTGGCTACTGCATAAATCAGCTTGTTTTGGAGCCCTCCTTCCTAAACTAAGACAAAAATGTGTGAGTCGGAGGCTAAAAAACTGTGAGTTAGCTCACACTAACTCAGCTTAGAGGGAACACTGCTGCCAGGGAAAAGGTAAGGCACAGAGCGGCAATACCTACACCTTAAAAAGAAGCATTTTTAGAAAAAGAAAGGGCTTATTAAAAGGTAATTCTGTTGAAGAGGTAAATCTGCCCCCTGCTGGTTGGTGGCAGCAGCAGCACCTTAGTAACAAGATGCTTTGCTTTTTTAAAAAAACAACAACACCTTTCTAGTCCTCATGGCAGCAGGGACTCAGTTTCTCTTTCCCCCTTGCCTTCGTGCCTCCATGCAGTTCCAGCAAACATCGGAGCATGCCCTTTTCTCCTGTTCCGTGGTGGACGTCTTCTCCCAGCTGAACCAGAGCTTTGAGATCATCAAGAAGTTGGAGTGCCCTGATCCGCAGATCGTGGGACACTACATGCGCCGGTTTGCCAAGGTAAGGAGAGAAGGGGCACGAGGCAGTGACAAACAAAGCAGAAAGAGTCCTGGCCTGAATAGCCCAGGCAAGCCCGATCTCATCAGATTTTGGAAGCTAAGCAGGGTCAACTGTGGTCAGTACTTGGAAGGGAGACTTCCTTGGAATACCAAGTCGGGAGGACAGAGACAGGCTATTTATTCAGCCACCTCTCTGGCAGGGTATGAGTTTTCGTGAGTCCATGCTCACTTCTTAGCACCTTAAAGACTAGCGAAACGTGTGGCAGGGGATGAGTTTTCGTGAGTCCCTGCTCACTTCTTCAGATACCCTGCCACAAATTTTGTTAGTCTTTAAGGTGCTACTGGACTCTTGCTCTTTTCTGCTGCTACAGACAGACCTGTGGTTTCCTGCATCTTGCTCCTCTGATTTCCCCCTCTTTGCTTTCAGACCATTAGCAATGTCTTGCTGCAGTACGCCGAGATCATCTCAAAGGATTTTGCCTCCTACTGCGCCAAAGAGAAGGAGAAAGTGGTGATGTATCCTGCTTGGTCACTGAACTGTTGTCTTTCCCATAACAAACGTCCCTTAGCAGCCAGGATTTTCTCCAAGTGGTACTGCTGGTTAGAAGCAGGACATGTCTGGATGCCAGTTGCTGGGGGTGCCGCACAACAGCAGGAGGATTTGGCATCTATGCCCTCTTTCCTGGGGCACCTGCTCGTCCACCATGTATAACGGGATGCTGGACTACATGGACCATTAACCTGATCCGACAGAGCTCAGCTTAGGTTCTTGTGCTGTATATTAACAGAGGGTTAAAAGAAGGTGATATATAATATAAAATACCTTCAAAAATATTGTGCTATAAAAACAGAATCAGGATTTCAGGTGGCATCAGAAAGCTGTAAGCAAGAGAACGTTTGCAAAGAGCAAAACAGAAAACTATAAGCCCCCTGTACTGACTAGGGTTAGAGACCAGAGCCAGGCAAGGTCCCTCAAAAGGAGAGACGAGGGTATGTTCCCAATGCAAATACTTTCGAGGTCCATATGCCAGTACTAACCTATTGCATCCACTCTTAATGCCTGCTGATGGAATAATTGATCCTGACACCTTATGAAGTCTTTTGCTCTTCTCCTTCCCCCAGCCCTGCATCTTGATGAACAACATTCAACAGCTTCGTGTCCAGCTGGAGAAAATGTTTGACGCCATGGGAGGGAAAGAAAGAGGTTTGTCTTTTCTCTGCTTACTTAATCAACCAATCAGGTGGCTGGGCCCAGTCTCTCCACTGACAGGCACTGGGGCTCAGCCTTGCTCAGATACCAGATTTTCCAGAAGGTTCTCTTACACACACGCGCACCAACGTAGTCCATCTCAGGCCCCAGGAGAACGCTATAAGAACTGGATCAATTCCCTATTCAGAATGAACGGAGGGGCGGTGAGGGGAGCAGGTAACCACACAGGTATGTGGCTGACAGATGCTTGGTCCAACCAAAACATTTAATCAACTTTCACACACCATTAGCAGTGTTCCCGCTAAGCTGAGTCGGTGTGAGCTAGCTCACAGTTATTTTAGCCTCCGGCTCACAGGCTCACATAGGGGCTGCGGTGGCTCAAGTGGTTAAGACGCTGAACTGCAGGCTGTGGTAGGTCGGTAGTTCAGCAGTTCGAGACCCGAGTGTGCCGCATGACGGAGTGAGCTCCCGTCTCTAGTTCCAGCTCCTGCCAACCTAGCAGTTCGAAAGCAAGAAATTGCAAGTAGATCAATAGGTACCACTTCGGTGGGAAGGTAACAGTGTTCCGTGCGCCTTGGTGTTTAGTCATGCCAGCCACATGACCATGGAAACGTCTTCGGACAGCGCTGGCTCTTCGGCTTTGAAACGGAGATGAGCACCGCAACCCTAGAGTCGGATTCGACTGGCTTTCGAGCAAGGGAAGCCTTTACCTTTACCTTTTTACACAAGTTTTTGTCTCTGCTCCGGAAGGATGGTTCCAGAGCAAACTAATTTATGCAGTGGCCAAATCGCTGGCTCACCACTTTAATGCCAGTAGCTCGCAAAGTAGAATTTTGGCTCACAAGACTCCACAGATTAGCGGGAGCATTGCGCATAAGCATCATCTCTGACTGCCATTTCCACATCCTCCAATCACATTGCTGTCTCCCAGCCAACTGGGTTTTTCGCCTTAAGCTTCCAGTTCCCCCTCCCCCCCATTTATTTTTTTTAAAGCTCACTGCAAAGGATAAGGTGAGAGAAGGATTAGGTCTCTCTTCTCATCTTAAGAGGAAAAAATAAGGGTACTGTTTTGGTTCTGCAAAAGTGGAGTGCACGTGTATTGGGAACAAACATTCCTGCATTGAGCAAGGGGGTCCTGCATCGTGCAGGGGTTGGATTAGATGACCCTGCATGGGACAGAGCAGGTAGAGAAAGAATTCCTTCTCTCCCTGTCTCGCAATACAAGAACTCGTGGGCACTCCATGAAATTGCTGAGCAGTCAGGTTAGAACGGATAAAAGGCAGTACTTCTTCACCCAAAGAGTGATTAACACATGGGATTCACTGCCACAGGAGGTGGTGGCAGCTACAAGCATGGACGGCTTCAGGAGGGAACTGGATAAACATCTGGAGCAGAGGTCCACCAGTGGCTCTTAGCCACAAGGTATAGATAGGAACTCTCAGTCTGGGGCAAGGGATGCTCTGTATTCTTGGTGCTTGGGGGGGGGGGCAACAGTGGGAGGGCTTCTAGTGTCCTGGCCCCACCAGTGGACCTCCTGATGGCCCCTGGTATTTTTGGCCACTGTGTGACACAGAGTGTTGGACTGGATGGGCCATTGGCCTGATCCAACATTGGCTTCTCTTTTGTTCTTATGTCCCGTCCAACTCTATGATTCTAAGTGAGTTCCTGGGCATGAAACAGAGAGGTGAAGACCTCCCTCTTTTCCTTACTACCCAAGAAAGGCAATTTGCTCTCCCCGTAATGACAATTTTGCTTTCTGTCCCCCCCAGCTGGACACAGAGGCCAGCGACATCCTCAAAGAGCTTCAGGTGAAACTGAACAATGTCTTGGATGAGCTGAGCCGGGTGTTTGCCACCAGGTACCGCTAATGGGAAGGGTGGACTGAAGGGGGAGGTTTTTTGATCCGTCATATGTTGTTACCACCCTGAGTCTTTGAGATGGTGGGCACTGGAAACACTCTTGGGGTTAACTTGTTGGTCCATGAAAGCCTAAGAAGAGCTCTGCTACAAAAGACCAATGGGCTTATCTAGTCAGGGATCCTGTGACTTAATGGGAAGGGAGGGCTGTAGGGGAAAGGGTTTTCTTATTTGTAATATGTTGTAACCACCATGAGTCTTTGAGATGGTGGGAACTGAAAATACTCATGGGGTTAACTGGTTGGTCCATGAAAGCCTAAGCAGAGCTCTGCTACAAAAGACCAATGGGCTTATCTAGTCAGGGATCCTGTGACTTAACGGGAAGGGTGGGCTGGAGGGGAAGGGATTTTTTAATTTGTAGTATGTTGTAACCACCGTGAGTCTTTGAGATGGTGGGAACTGAAAATACTCGTGGGGTTAACATGGTTGGTCCATGAAAGCCTAAGAAGAGCTCTGCTACAAAAGACCAAGGGGCTTATCTAGTCAGGGAATGTTGTTTTCAACCCTGGCAAGGCAAAAAATATACGACTGCCTTTCCCCGTATATACCCCAGAGAGCACTACGGTCTGGGTCTCAAAATCGGTTGACCCTCCCTGGCCCGAGGGAGGCCAGGTTAGCTGCCACTAGGGCCGGGACCTTTTTTGGTGGTGGCCCCTACCTGGTGGGACGAGCTCCCAGAGGAGATCAGGGCCCTGCGGGACCTTTTACAGTTCCGCAGGGCCTGCAAGACAGAGCTCTTCCGCCAGGCATTCAGTTAGGGGCCGCCGCCGTCAGATCGCCCGACCGTTGCAGCACCTGGCCCATGATCTACCATCGAATTGTTACCATAAAGAAACTACGAACAGAAGAACATCCTAGAACATTTGGGAAATGGAAATCCATTGAAAGTGTACCATCTACGTGAATTTTAATTGCCGCCAGCACTGTATGCTTGTTGATTTGCAGTGTTTTTAATAATCCTGTTTTAAGCTGTATATACGTTGTGCTGGAAGCCGCCCTGAGCCTGCTTTGCGGGGAGGGCGGGGTACAAATTTGAAAATAAATAAATCAAAAAAGGAAGGGAGGGAGCCATCACGGAATAGAGGTCCATGACTGGCGATTAGCTCTAATAGCTGAACAGAACCTCCATATGCAGAGGCAGTTTGCCTCTTCATCTTGAGAACAAACAAACAGCGAAGAGCTGTTTCGTCCTGCCCTGCCCGGTAGACTTCCTGCAAGCTCTTCGCTGACCACTTTGGACACAGGGTGCTGGGCTCGATGGACCTTCTCGCTGTGCTCCTCTCCTGACAGAGGGTGAACCTGCCAATGGCGACTCACTACGAGTGCCTAATGGAACCTCCATACACATGAGCAGTCTACCTCTGGACACCAGAGTCAGTGGAGACAAACAATAAGGTTTCCTGTCTTAATGCCTCCCTTGCGAGTTTCCCAGAGCTGGAAACTGAATGCTCGATTAGAAAATTCCAGCCAAGATATGTTCTTGACCTCTTGAGAACCCCCCCACAAACGCACACCTGGAAAACATCTGCTGAGGCCTCTGTTGAGCGATCCCGGAGAGCCAGTTTGCGGTGCAGTGGTTAGGACCGCAGGCTCTGATCCGGGAGAACCGGGTTTGATGCCCCACGCCTCCACATGCAGCTGCTGGTGTGACCTTGGGTCAGTCACAAGTTCTCTCGGAGCTGTTCTCTCAGGAGCAGTCTCTCAGCCCCACCTACCTCACAGGGTGTCTGTTGTGGGGAGGGGAAGGAGATTGTAAGCTGCTCTGAGACTCCGAGTGAAGGGCGGGGTATAAATCCCTTCTCTTCTCTCTTCTTCTTCTCTCTCCTCCCCCCCCCACCCTCCAGTTTTCAGCCACATATCGAGGAGTGTGTGAAGCAGATGGGAGATATCCTGAGTCAGGTGAAGGGTACTGGGAACGTCCCCGCCAGCGCTTGCAGCAGTGTGGCTCAGGATGCCGACAACGTGTTGCAGCCCATCATGGATCTTCTGGACAGCAAGTGAGTGAACCCGGATGAGACCAGGTGTGGGGAATGTTATGGGTATCGCGTGGGGAAAGTTCTGTGTGTCGATCCAGGTGGTCAGCCGTCTTGGTCTGAAGCAGCGGAACAAAGTCCGAGTCCGGTGGCACCTTTAAGACCAACAAAGGTTGATTCAAGCCTTGAATAAAACTTGTGCAGGCAACCCTTCTTCGGATACATTGAAATGGAAGTCACGTATGGACTGGTAACTTCCCTTTCAAAGTATCTCACAAAGGGTGGGTGCACACAAAAGCTTATGCCTTGAATAAAACTTGGTTGGTCATAAAGGTGCCACTGGACGCGGACTTTTTTCGGTTTCTGTGCATGTTTTAAATGATTTTTTAATTAAAATGTTGGAGAGTTCTGTCCAATAAATAGGGTTGTATCCAGGGCTATTTTGGGGCAGGAACACACAGGAACGGAGTTCCGGCTGGCTCCCAAGTTGACCACGCCCAGCAGGAACGCATTAGCATAATAGGCCACACCCAACAGAAGGAACTCATTAGGATTGGCTACATTAGGGGTGTGTGGCCTAACATGCAAAGGAGTTCCTGCTACAAAAAAAGCCCTGGGTTTTGACAACAAACAAGGTAAACAGAATAAGAAGCAAAAGGTGGGTGTGGCTGGATGACCACACTTCTGGTGACATGGGGGTGCAGCCTAATATGCTAATGAGCTGTGCTCTCATGGGTGTGGCTGGATATGCTAATGAGTTTCTGTTGTTGGGTGTGGCCTATTATGCTAATGAGTTCCTGCTGGGCTTTTTCTACAAAAAAAGCCCTGGATTCCATTGCAAGAGAATCTTTAAACCTGACTGGCACATGGTCCAGCATGTGCTGCAGGAAGGCTCCATGTGTTGGAAGATGTCATTAGTGCAACAAAGTGGTAGGATACATCCCAATAACCTTCCTGGGATGCCAGGAATTTCACAGTGACCCTATTCGATAGTTGAATATACCCTGTTCGACATTCACATTGAGGATGCGGTCACACACGCAGTTTGTTGCAATATAGTGCGGTGTTACCTGAGCAGCATAAATGGGCCCCTCCAGATGAGGACATCTGCCTCCCATGGCGCAGTCATCGGCTGCCCGTGCTGTTCCGCAATGGAAGTGGAATAAACGGATTTCAGGGAAAGTCCAATTGTTCACGGTTCCCTCCAGGTTTCCCGACATCTGACCTCTCCTGCGGTGAAAGGAACCCGGAAGGGACGTTTGAGCTTGCAGATCTGCTTCCACCACTGGATGTTGTTGTTTTTAAAGTTGCTGCCCATATGCGCATATGGTCACGAGCTCATATGTGCATCCGACTGCCTGCATTTAAATAGAACCCACCTTTACAGCTCGTCCCATGGATGAAGCTCAACACTAATGTGGATGCTCCCCCATGGGACGGCCACATGGGTAACCCGCCACAGGATGTGCAGTCCAGATTAAATGCTCCACTACACTTCACCCTGGTACAATTTGAGGTGCCAACATACCGTACCAAGCCACTGGTGTGATTGCAGCCTTAGACAGTGAGCTGATCAAGGATATATTCAGACTGCACCAAGCAACTTGGACAGCTACTGAACAGGTTTGCAGCTGGCTGTAAGTGAGAAGCTGACTCACAGCCGATTGGGGGATCCACTGGAAGTCAGGTTCTGATTTCCCAGTGCTTTCCGGTATCCCAGTCTTGTTGTGCTGGAACACAGGAAAGCTTCAAGGGGAAGCAGAAGCTGACTCGCAGCTGATGGGCAATCAGCTGGGCAGAACCCCCCTTTTAATCCTGCCTGCAGTTGATAGTGAAAACTGAGATGCATTAAATGTCTTAAAGTGGACACTGCTACTGTCTTTGCCTCTCTCATTCACGTAGGCCAGTTGGATCTTGTGTGGGAAAGGTGCAGGTGATGCTCAAGCATCTGACAGGCTCACACCCTGTTCTCCGGGGGCGATCAGGCAGCCGATTAATCCAGGTGCTGTTTGGGTGTTTGCATCCTGTTTGTATCTATTCACAAGAACAGGCTGCTTGCCACTGTCAGAAGCCGACTCCCAGCTGATGGTGGATCAGCTGAGAGTCAGTTTCTGGTCTTCTGCTGGGGAATTTTTGCTCTCTACCCGACAACGTTTGGGGGAGGTGGAGGTGGATCAGAAACTGGTTCCCTTCTGGTTTGCCCCCTCCCTTCAGTTTGGTGTAGTGGTTAGGAGCGCGGACTCTAATCTGGGAGATTTCTCACTCCTTCACTTGCAGCTGCTGGTGTGATCTCGAGTCAGTCACAAGTTCTCTCAGAGCTGTTCTCTCACGAGCAGTTCTCAAGAGCCCCACCTACCTCACAGGGTGTCTGTTGTGGGGAAGAGAAGGGAAAGGAGATTGTAAGCCATTCTGAGACTCCTTTGGGTAGTGAAAGGCGGGGTATAAATCCAATCTCCTCCTCTTCTTCTTCTCTTCAGAAGAATAGCTGCACAGTGAAATTGGAGCTCTGAAGCAATCAACTTCTGGTCCCTTTATTCCGAAATGGAGAGGAGAAAGAGATCATTCGTCTTCCTTTCCCTCCAAGCTGGGAAGTGGGGAACAGAAGCAACTCTTCTGATCTCTCCACTGGAAAGGGTAGCGGGGAAAGAGATAGTTTCTCGCTTTCCTCTGGAGCCCAAGCGATCTAATCCTTTTGTGGGCAGCCCGAGCCAACAGCGCAGTGTAGGAAGAAGACAGGTGATCTGCCCCCCCCCCAGTTGAGAGTTAGGGCTGCGGAAAACAGAAGCAGTCTTCTCCTTTTCTCTACAGCCCCAGCCAACAGCTTGGAGTGGGGAGAAGAGGAAGGTAATGGAGCTGAGCTTCTAATCACACACACATCCCAGTTGTGGGCATATTTGTTGCATCTCAGCAGGTCTGGGATGCAGCAAAGTTTTTGGGATGTGAGAACATAAGAGAAGCCAATGTTGGATCAGGTAAATGGCCCATCCAGTCCAACACTCTGTCACACAGTGGCCAAAAATACCAGGTGCCATCAGGAGGTCCAGCAGTGGGGCCAGGGGAGATCAGAAGTGGGAAGATCAGAAGATCAGCTGGGAGCAATGTTCCTTCTAAGCTGTGGAGTCTTGTGAGCAAAAATTCTACTTTGTGAGCTGCCGGCATTAAAGTTGTGAGCGAGCAATTTGGCTACTGCATAAACTAGTCTGCTCTGGAGCCATCCTTCCTGAGCTAAGACAAAAATGTGTGAGCTGGGGGCTAAAGAACTGTGAGCTAGCTCACACTAACTCAGCTTAGAGGGGACACAGGCTGGGAGTCAGTTCCTGATCCACCTTCCCCTCCCCCAAACGTTGTCGGGTAGAGAGCAAAAATTCCCCAGCAGAAGACCAGAAACTGACTCTCAGCTGATCCACCATCAGCTGGGAGTCGGCTTCTGACAGTGGCAAGCAGCCTGTTCTTGTGAATAGATATGAACAGGATGCAAACACCCAAGCAGCCCATGGATTAATTGGCTGCCTGATAGCCCCCAGAGAACAGGGTGTGAACCTAACTGTCAGATGCTTGAGCATCACCTGCACCTTTCCCACACAAGATCCAGCTGGCCTACATGAAGTCGCTGGAGACAGAACGAGAGAGGCAACGGCACTAGCAGTGTCCACTTTAAGACATTTTAGTGCATCTTCATTTTCACTATCAATTGGAGGCAGGATTAAAAGGGAGGGGGGGTTCTGCCCAGCACTTCATGTGCTACCTTTTCCACCAGCCAAGGTCCTGTGTGTTTACTTGGAAGTAAGTCCCATTCAGGATGCCTTTCTCTCTCTCCCTCCAGCTTGACCCTCTTTGCCAAGATCTGTGAGAAGACAGTCTTGAAACGAGTGCTGAAGGAGCTTTGGAAACTGGTCATGAACACCATGGAGAAGACCATCGTGCTTCCCCCCCTCACTGACCAAACGGTGAGTCCTTGTCAAAGCGCTGGCCCGTGGGCCGAGCAGGGACAGGCTCTGCCTCCCCTCAGTCCCTCTCAGTCCTCTTCCCAAAGCTCTAGCGGTGTGGAAAACTTGAATTCGTAGGGGAGATAACTTTCAGGTTTTGTACCTTCTTCGAGTGCAAACTTGGTGCTGGCTGCAGAAATCACAGCGCTGAACATCAATAAGGCTGATGCCTCTAGTTTTGGAGTCCCGACCAGTTGCCTAATCTTGCTTCCAAAGCAGAACCAAGGGATTTCCTGTTGCCCCACTGTTTAATTTCCAAGTGTTGTATATGTGCCTCTATGCACATTCCTTCATATCTTCTCCCCGTTCCAACGTATCTTCTCCCCTTCCTCTCCCTCACCAATGCGCACTGGTGCATGGAAAAGACAATGCAGGGGGAAAAAACATCTTTATGTCGTCGTAGAGGAGAATTGACCAAAGCTGAAGAGTGCACGTGCACATTGGTAGAACACTTCACAGTAATGCATGGCAGGAATCTCAATGCAATCGTCATGGATGATTGTATGAACATCACTCTGCTTTATCAGTGTGCTCAAGCGCATTGCCGACATAGAGGGGGGAGGAAAGATGCAAGTGAAATGAAAGCTGCAGCACTCTGCACACGCTCGAATTTTGGAATTAATTTTAGAAACTCCTCCCAGTTAAACTGGAATTTGTGGGGAGTGGTGAAGAACAGCACAGAGAACTTTCCTGTAACAGTTGAACAGAATGGGAGGGAAATCCGTTCATTCCTGAAGTCCCAGTTTTCATTTCAATCAAGTAAGACAGCATCTTCTTTTGAACAAGGAGCTGTGTTTGAAAGTGTGTGGAAAGTGGCTGATGAAATTTCCGCAGCCAGCGAATTTGCTGAGTAAGGTCCTTCGTGTTCGGGGAAAGGGCTTTATGGCCTCCATGCAAAAATGTGCATGAAAATTTCATGCAGATATATATATTGGCACAAATTTGCTTAGTTTGCCTAAGGGATACAGGAAATAGCTTTTCTCGGAATGGAAAGAAGGTTGACTCGGTGCAAGTTTTCAGTTTAGTTCAAGAACAGCCGTCTTTCGTTATCTCCCCACATGCCAAAGTCTGCTAGCTGTGTGGATAAACCACAGGGAGCTCCGGGATAGTCCCTCACCATCACATGCATCCAGTACTAAGCGTAGGTGTGATTCCAGATGTCTCGGTACTGTCAGTCTCTCAAGCATTTATTTGGGGAAAGAGCTGTGTCTAAGGCCTTGTTCTTAGAAAACAGGAAAACAGGAAATAAACATGATTAATTTACAGACTCCCTGCCTCATGGTGCCCATGAGCTTTGGCATCTTGAAAGGGGGATTGGAGGAGAGCTATGGCTGTTCAGGGGTTATTTTGTAGAAAAAGAGCTGCAGGAGCTCATTAGCGATTAGCATAATAGGCGATTAGCATAATAGCTCATTAGCATATGCCACACCCCCTGACATCCCTGGAAGTGACATCCCCTGGAAGAAGGGGAAGCAAAAGGGGGGGAGGCATCTTCAAAAGCCTCCCCTTCCCTTCCCCAGGTGGGCTGGGGAGAAGGAAGCAAAGAGAGAAGGGGTTTAAACTTTAAACCCCTTCCCTCTGGAGTCACGCTGCAGGGGCGGCGTGATCTTTCCATTGTATTCTATGGGGCCATAGAATACGATGGAAAGATCATGCCGCAGCAGTGGCACGACTCTAGAGAGAAGGAGCTTGGGGGCGGGGAGCTTAGGGGCAGGGCTTGCCACCACTGCCATTTGTGCCCGCTCCTGAGCTGCCGGAGCAGTGCTCCGACGTGCTCCGGCCCGAAATGACCCCTGGCTGTGATTGCTAAATGAAGTCTTCATGTTCAGAGGCAGCATACCTCTGAATATCAGATATGCTTGTCAGTCTTCCGGGAACAGCCAGGTATTGGATCAGATAGATCTTTGCCATGACTGGGTACGGAAGTTCTTAGGAGATACTGCAGGCTTTTTTTCTTGGGGAACACGCTGGAACAGAGTTCCAGAACTGACAAAATTCTTTTTAAAATGTTCAAAAGTTCACAAGTTTTCAGTATACAGATTGAACACTTCATTTACCTCTTGAGAGTTCTGGCACCTCTTTTTCAAAAGAAAAAAAAAGCCCTGGAAGATAGTAAGCTATCTTCTGGGCTGTACCATTTCAGATTGTAGGTGGAGACTCCAAATTTCTCTGTATAAATAATCCTTGCACATGGAAAACTGGCAAGTCAGTGGGAAGGTTTCCAGCTTAGCTTTCTATGTCCAGAGAATTTCTTTGTATGGCAGAAAAGACGGCCATGTAGGACCCTACCAATGCTCCCTCTAGGCTGTGGAGTCTTGTGAGCAAAAATTCTACTTTGTGAGCCACTGGCATTAAAGTTGTGAGTGAGCGATTTGGCTACTGCGTAAATCAGTTTGCTCTGGAGCCATCCTTCCTGAGCTAAGACAAAAATGTGTGAACCGGAGGCTAAAAAACTGTGAGCTAGCTCACACTAGCTCAGCTTAGAGGGAACACTGGACCCTACCTGCTGCCTGAAGTGGAACAGCCCAGATGCAGGTTGTCTCTTTGAGAGAATGAGACCAGGTGACCCCACCCCCCTCTGCAGGCTGAAGGAAGATTTCTCCATAAACGTCTCAGGCAGGCCTATTATCACTCCCCTCTTGACAGGGATGTGCTGACAGTAGTATTTTGCATCTGAGCTCAAGCATGTGCACTACCTCTCTCATCTTGTGGGTACACTACGTGGGATGGGTTTTGATCTCTACAGATAATACAGCTGTGTACAGACAATCCCAGATGTGGGGTCCATAGGAAGAGAAAGAGGGCGGGAGGGCTGCGAAATACCTGGCATAAAAAAGTCTTCCCCCCCCCCGATGTGCTTCCATGCTCTCACTTTTGAAATAATAGGCTGCTCTTGCTACTTGCTTCTCTAGAATAAGTCAGCTCATAAAAATTGACACCTGGGGTCCTTATAGACCCAGTGCCATTCCTGTATAGTTGTTTGTCAACACTCTAACCAAACCTTGTTCAGGGATGTGGGGGGTGCTGGTTACATTACATATGAGTCATGCACCAACACACCTTGGATTAAAACAATCTGTTACTTAATCAGGAGCCATTTGATCCCGATGCCTGGTTCTCTACAAGTTTAAGGAGGGATAAGTATCTTGATTTTGTTAAACTGAACCTGTGATTTTACAGAAATGGGAGCAGAAGTCAGTAAACAGGGTTTTATTTGTAGTCTCAAAAAGAGCCCAACCCTTTAGCTTCCTCAAAGATTTCTACTTTGTGGTGGGATAGGGGACGGGCAATTTTTTCCTCTTTCAAAATCTCCTTTCCTGACTTACGGCTATCCCGCATTCTCATTTTCTTCGCATGTGTGTCCCTATCGTTTCATTTTTTTTACCACACGTGTTTTGCTCCTTCTAGTGGTCAGTTTGACGTTACATTGGTTTATGTCCGAAATAAAATGTCAACTGCAAGTTTTTATGCAGGACATACACCAATATAATATTGAATCCACCACTAGAGGGAGCAAAACCCTTGTGGAAAAGAAAAAAACAAAGTAATAAGGACACACTTCCTCTGCATCGACATTTCCTTTAAAAATGTTAATTGCTCTTCTGGTAAACTTTTATAGAGCTCTTCTGTTGACTTTTCTAGAGCTGTTGTGTCACAACAACCCCATTGCAAGGGGTAACAGCTTCTCAACAAGCTCTGTTGCCTTTGCAAATGAAGACAACTCCGCTAAACCTGACACGGCAGATAGCTCAAATCTGCAGTCTCACGAGGACCGAGATTTGAGCTGTGTAGCAAAAATGAAAGTGTTTCTGAATAGCTCCTTTTCTTGGGGGACGTTGGACAGTCTGTAATCCCGCATTCTACAGTTCTACCTTTCAAATTTAGGCATGTGGAGTTTCTTTCTTTTTTTAAAAAATGTTTGGAAAGATGGTGGTCCAGATTACCTGTGCAGCGAATTCCTTGTAAGGGGGGGCTTCAGGAAAATGACGCAGAACTACAAACATCCACTTGGAGATTTCTAAATGTGGCGAATTTTCGTGGAGCCTATGTACGTGTGTGTGTGTGTGTGTGTGTGTGTGTGTACGTCAAGGCCATTGTCTTTGCTTGTGCTAGGTGGAAAACTGTTTTGTGTAGAGGTGCTACCAAATCTCTCAGCCCTCCCCCAACACGAAATGCCCCGTTTCACTTTCCCTGGTGCAGAATGAACCCTGCCAGCCTACTTTTTTGCTCCACTTTCTCTATCCTCCCGCCGAATGTTTCCCTTTCAACGTTAATGCCACGTTGGAAAGTATTTGCGTAGCCAACTGTACAAGAGAAACAAGGAGTAACGAAAAAGGGAGAAAACAAAAAAGGACTCGTTACGAAAAACAACACTCCTCCCCCCCCCGAGCATCCTTAACTGTGTGGTTGTGGGTCAGGAGGGACTGTGGTGCGTGTGGGGAGGGCTGGAGTAGGGTGCAGTGCATTGAAGGTTGTGGCTCACTCACGTGACCGTTGTTTTTTCCAATTGCTCCGCTCCCCTCACCCTGGCAGATGATTGTAAGTACGGCAGCTCACCCTTGTCTGTCTTGTCTGTCTCTTTCTTCCTTCCTTCCTGTCCGTGTGCCTTGCGTACAGTTACCGACCTCCTTTCCAAAGAAAAGAACTTGAGCTGGTATTTTTGTCCTTTTCTGTTGTGGCTGCCTGCCCTCTCCACTGTGCCTTCCCCTCCTTGCTCCTGTCTCTTCCCTGCCCCGGAACCCCTTTTGCCTCTTCTTGTTCTGTGACACTCCTGCCATTGCTGAGCTGCTTCGTGCCAGCTATTATGTCTTGGTGGAAAGTTTGCTGCCCACCCCATCCGATTTCTATGCCTGGGTCGCTTTCTTGGGGCGGGGTTGGAAGGGATTCCCGTAGCCGAAAGCAGGTAGGAGCGTGCCAGTTTCATGGGGGGGTCCCCAAACTCAGAATCCAATTCCAGTTTCAATTCATTTATCTGTGAAGGGCTAGTCTTTGAGGGGTTCTCACGGGGTGGGCATTCTTTGAGACCTACGGGCTCCCCATCCCCCCATCCGTCTAGTACATTTTTATCTTTCTTCCAAGGAGCTCAAGATGGCATACATTGATCCTCCATTCCCTGCTTTGTTTTCACAATGACCCTGTGAGGCTGAGAAAGTGTGACTGGCACACAGCCACGCAATACGTGGTGGCACAGAGACTTGAACCCTGGGCTCCGAGATTCAAATGTGACACGGTCACCCCACACTGGCTCACAGCTTCAATTTCTCTGCTATGCTCCGGGTTATATTCTGGCAGCAGGGGAGTCCTGATCATGTGTAAATCATCTGTCGGCTGCGGGAGGATATAGATAGAGTCACAGAGCAGTTACGCACCCTTGCTGTTTTACTGCAAGAAAAGGGTAGCCTCTATTATATTGCCCGTTTAGGCACGGGGGACAAGAAAAGGGTAGCCTCTATTATATTCCCCGTTTAGGCACGGGGGACATAGCAGTTGACTGGTGAGAATATTACCCGTCAGGGTGTATACTGCTGAGCAAAACTGATGCTACCTATACTGAATCAGACCCCCGGGTCCGACATTCAATATTATAGCTCTCCAGGAGCCTCAACCAGATCAAGACCTTTCCCAACACTGGCGATCCTTTTAGCTGGAGGCTGAACCTGGGACCTTCTATATGCCGAGCAGATCTCCGTCCCTTCAACCTTTGCACACATGATCTCCTACTCCGTACAACAGCTCTCTAAGCTGGGGCAGCATTTTTTGACTCCCATATTGTAGGTATGGCAGGCTGAGAAGGGGCAGTTTGGCTACGAACCCCTAGTAAGCTCAGGAGAGAGGCGAGCTTCAAGCCAGGAACCATTGCCTCCTGATTCAGCGGCTTCACTACCCCAGTGTGTAGAACATGCAGGAGTACATCAACGAGTAACTCAAGAACAGTAGCTACTTCTTATTTACCGTCTGGTTTCTAGCCCTCATGGGATTGTGATAATGGGACTAATTAAGAGTGGCGCAGCTGGGGGATGAAGTCAAACAAATGAGACATCCCCTGCAGCTGTCCAAACCTGCTACTCTGGGAGGGCAAGTTTTTTGTGTTTGGACCCTAGCTTGGGTCGGGGGCTTTCTCTCCAGAATTAAAGAGATGTTTGGGGGTCAACAATTAGCACCTCACTGGCCAAATCCAGCCTGCCAAGAGGCGGTGCCGGTCCATGGAAGATGTGCCTTGCTCCACTCGTTCTGAAACAATTTATTTATTGGTTGTACCCCAACTTTCTCCACAACGGGGACCCAGTGGCTTGCAAAATTCCCTCCATTTTATCCTGACAGCAACCCTGTGAAGTAGGTTGGGCCAAGCGTGTGCGACAGCCCAAGGTCACCTGGCGAACTTCTAGGGCAGAGTGAGGATTTAAAATGTGGTCCCCCAGATCACGGTCCAACACTTTAACCGCGACACCACATTGGCTCTAGGAAGGAATGGGAAGGAGGGCGAAACGCATCCCAGCAAGAGAACGAAAAGGCGAATTCATTCCCAAATTCCATGTGCCTGTCTCTTCCAACTGGCATTCTAGTCCCACAGATTTTGGTTCATAGCTGGCGACGCGACAAGGAATAATCTGCCACCAAAGGAAGTGGTGGACGCACCAGATGCGTACCAGCACGAAAACTGTGCGAAAATTCAGAATCTCAACCAAGAGCTATATTTGTCTTCTTGATCGCACACAGATGTGCAAATCTTCAACTTTTCCAAACCCAGGCTTCACTTCTAACCCCTGGGCAGAAGCATGGCACCCTCTGTGCTGCAAGCATGTGACTTCAGGGTCACGTGACACAAAGAGGAGCAGCCAGAGTTATAACCTCGCTGATGTCAAGGCCGGGACGATGGGCATCAGGCCAGAAGAGCCAGGGACAGAGGAGACAAGCTGAGCCACAGGAGGTGTACCACAGGGAGGCTGAGGATCAGCTCCATGGGAAAATCCTCACTGCCACTGACTGATTCCATCTTGCCTTCCTGCAGCTGCTTTTCAGCATGCGCGCAGGGAGAAGCGGGAGGCATGGCACCCTTGCTCTTTACTCATGCATTGTAGCAGCAGGTCTTTCCAAAAGGCTGCTCCGTAGGGGCTCGCAGCCCAGTAGGGAGGTCTTCACAAGCCACCTGATGGTCCTGACCCATGGGGTGAGGACCACTGACCTAGAGGACTTGGTGCTGGGCATGTCGATAAGCAAAGAATCCCAGCTGAAGCATCACCCGTAGCCCTTCTGTGAACGCCGGTGTGAAGAGTTGCAGAGGTATTGTGATAAATTGTGATTCGAAAGTCTTCTTCGTGTTGCTCGATCTGCCTGTGCGTTACATTCGTTGCGGCAACACGAACCACGAGAAAAGGTGACTTCCGGCTGGCCGACCGTTTCCAGGCAGAGAAAGCTGGAGGCGATCACGGAGTCCTTGGCTACCTTTCTCCCTCTTCTTTATGCCGACTTCTCTTGCCTCTCCTTGGTTGTCCCAGCCCCTCCTTCTCTCAAATCGCAGGGGTAGTTTGCTAACAAAGGAGAGGTAGGATAATTGGCGAGGAGCAGGTCAGGCAGGGCAGCTACAAAGGCCCAAGGAGAAGAACCCAAAAGGGTTTGATCCCTGCAGAGAATACTTGACTCAGACCCAGCGGAGTAACTCAGCACAGACTGCGGGACTTTGGGAGGGGGACCCTCGAGTAGGCATTCTCACCAGGTCCCATTGCCCTGCATAAGGGGGGGGGCATTGTAGGATTGCCAACCTCCAGGTTAGAAAAAAGGTATCAAAGCAAAAAGTGGAGATTCACGGTATGGAAAAACTAACAAAAGACCAAGAAACCCGTGACTATAATGACAACGAACGTATAAAAACAACTTGTAAACTTTTTTTAAAAAAAATTTGGCACCATTTTATCCAGACCAAACTAGGAAGCAGGAAGATTACATGCAATCAGTGTTCCCTCTAAGCTGAGTTAGTGTGAGCCGGCTCACAGGTTTTTTTAGCCTCCGGCTCACACATTTTTGCCTTAGCTCAGGAAGGAGGGCTCCAGAGCAAACTAATTTACGCAGCAGCCCAATCGCTCGCTCTCAACTTTCATGCCCGTAGCTCACAAAGTAGGATTTTTGCTCACAAGACTCCACAGCTTAGAGGGAGTGTTGCATGCACTACGGATTCATTTTGTTCGGTTGCGGTACCTGTCCCTGAAGAAGAACTGCGGAAACGGGATATTTACTGGTGCCCCATCAAAACAGGATCGCCTTGTCTCCATCAGCATCGGACTTCATTGCATCACTGGGAAGGACCATTTGAAACAGGAATTTTGTTGAGGCCTGGAGGTGTTTTCCATATTGGACTGACACCGGAGACATCTTATATAATATTCTTTATTCAGATTGGAACTTTTGATAAAGGTTTACAAGTTATTTTTATCAATTCTTCATTATTATATTTGCGGGTTGATGGGCTTTTGTTAACCTGCAGGTGGGGCCTGGAGACCACCTGCTATTAGAACTGATCTCCACAGTACAGGGATCAGTTCCCCTGGAGAAAAATGGCTGCTTTGGAGGAGAGATTCCATGGCATTATATGCCACTGAGGTCCTGCCCTCTCTAGGCCCCGCCCATCAAATTGCCAAGGATTTCCCAACCCGGAGTTGGCAATCGTTGTTTGTTAACACCTGGAAATGTTGCAGTAGCATACTGACTTTCTTGGGTGCCCTGAAGGGAAGCCATCCTCACCACCCTCTGGAGCCAGCTGCGGGGTCATGGAGCTTGCGTAGCCAACCTCCCCCTCCCCCTTCTTTCCCAGTACGTGACTTCCATTTTCTCCCGTTCCACAACTGCATTGATCAATCTGTGATATTGTTTCTACAGGGGACTCTCTTGCGAAAGCATGGCAAGGGGACAGAGAAGGTAACTCCACCACTTTGGTTCTTTGACTGTCTGTCTGTAGGGACAGGGCCCGAACCAAAATCAAAAAGAGGGAAACCAAAATCGCAGTCCAGTTTCATTGTTAATCAGGGCACGGAGGAGGAGGAGGACGAAGAGGAGGCCAAGGCCTTGAACGTTGGCCTCGAGTTTGATTGTCGTGTTTTGTAGTTTCGTGTTGTTCAGATGTGTGTCCTGTTGAGTTTTGTTTTTTTTGTCTGGTTCGAGTGGTGTCCGGAGACTTGTGCCTCGTGGCGTTCGGTCTGTATGGGGGTTCAGTGCATCATATCATGGGGTGAGTGATACAGCTGGTTCACAGATGAGGGTCAGGTGACTCTGTGTCATGTGTTCTCCTCAAGAAAGGTGGGGCTTACTGGCCATTTATGATTATGAACACAGATGATTTGTAAAGAGACGTATGTAAATGAGGAGTTCCAAATAGGAATGCCAGACCTCCCCGGTGGGGGCAGGGATCCCCCGTTTTCGGGAGTCAGCTGGACGGCAGGGAGTGGGGAAATGCGGAAATTAAACATGACATGCCTCCGTGACCCAGAAGTGATGAAGGGACATCAGGGGGCGATGCTCTGGTTTTTGGGCAACACTCTATGGTAGAGGCTAATTCTACCATAGAGTTTTGCCAAAAAACCAGGGCATCACACACACCCTCCCCGAAGTCCCTGACGTGCCTTCGTCACTTCTGGATCATGCAGGCACGTCACGTTTATTTTCGGTTTTCCTCCCCACTTCTGGTAAGTTCGCCCCTCCCATTCGCCAGCAGGTCCGAGGGACTTGGCAACCCTCGTTCCAATCTGGGGAAAGAGAACAAGGCCTGCCCTTGAGGCGGGCACCCAGCTCTGGCAATCAGGTTTTCTAGTTTGCTTCAAACAACCAAGAAAGCCTGCTTTGACCAGAGATGTCAACAGGACAGAAGAACCCATGGACTATAATGTGCTCAGGCCTCAGCGCCCTCTTTAGGCCTGGGTGAGAATAGCAGTGTGATGAACATGGCTGGAAGTCGGGTTGCCAACCTCCAGGTGCAGCCTGGAGACCTCCCAGAGTACAGCAATCAATTTCTCTGGAAGATCCAGTGGCTCCAGAGTGGGGAGTCTATGGTATACCATAGTGTTTAGGAGGACCAGATGTCCTAGGATGCTATCACACCCTGCTGAGTTGCCTCTGCTCCCCAAACTCCACCTTCTCCTGGCTGGAAGCCTCTGGACAGGACAGGCTTGCTTTTGGTACCACAAGGCAAACTTTCCCAGCCAATGGAGCGGGACCTTCCACCTGCTGCCCTTGAGGATACCACCTACTGACAAGTGTATCCTTCTGTGTCCAGTTCCAAACCACCTGCTCTTTTGCAAGCATCCCCTTTGAATGCTCAGAAACGTTCAGGTGCTTGCATATGGGTTGCTCACCCAAACCGCCCACGGGCATACACAGGGGCACTCAACAATGCTCACCCATCCCCTTTCTGATAGTATTTGCCTCCCGACTAGGGCCCCTTCCCTCCAAGCCATAAACTTTACATTTTCAAAGGTGGGGACTAACGGGCTATGAGGATGGCTCTTTAAATCGAGGACTAGGCTCCAACCTGGGTTTATCTCCCCCTCTTCTCAGACTTCCCCAGCATAATTTCCTAGCAGGGAGTCAAGGAGCTGCACAGGCTGACCCCGTGAGCTCCCAGGGCAAGAGCACACAACCAACCAGATTGACGTTATTTAAAAAAATATATTGATGTAATGTATTGAAAGAATAGACCAGTCATTAAGACTGCAGCCAGCAGATTATCGAAAGACGTACAGAACGCAAAAGAACAAGTCTATCTTTCAACTACCTAACACTTCCAAAAGGTTTGTCAGTTGGTGCAAAACGTACACCCCAAAACAGGCCTCAGATCAGCGTAGAGTACAATTTTCGCCATCTGCCAAGCATAGACCCAGGCCAGTACTCATGGGGTGCGGTCAGACGGCGTGCTGGGAGCGGTTTAAATTGCTCCGGCCCTGATGCGTGTTTTTTTTAACCTGGAGAATCGCGACCACACTCGCCTCCTTGATCCGGATCACTGCGCAGCCGCATTGCTCCCCTCCGTCCACATGCGGGAGCGTGCATCGGTGTTGTTTTTCTCTCTCTCTCAGTTTGGGCATGCGCACAGGCAGCCATCTGTAGAACTAAAATTTCCGCGTGTGCGCAGAACAGCAATTTCCACTTCAACCCAACTGCTGTAACACTTCCCTTTAAACTTTAAAGGAACACTTCCCTTTAAACGTTTACCCCTGAAATGGCCCCCGCGAGATCCCGAACTCGTCTAAAGGCTAAAACTAGGCACCATTTAAACATTGTTTTTAGTAACGCGGTGGCGGACCTCCGCCTATGCGCACACCGGCAATGCTTTAAAAAAAATGGCGGGTGAAAAGCGGACGCCTCGGACAGCTTTCGAACGGGGAGGGGGTTTAAACCGGAAGTGGCTCGACACCAGAGGAGCAATCAGACATCAGAAAAGTGCAGCTGGAACCGGAGAATCAGGAAAACACCACTTGGGGACCTGGTATCGAAATACTCCGAGTTAAAGCGGTTTTGAGCCGGAAAGCGATGGCTGGGGACGGTGTGCAGATGTTGACTGTGTATCGCGCAGATAAAATCCGTTTCTGAGGCAGGCGAAAGCAGACTAAACGGCCCGTATGAACGCACCCATGGAGTCTCAGAGTGGGACCTTTGCCCCGGGGGGATATCACAGAATCGCAGAGTTGGAAGGGGCCATACAGGCCATCCAGTCGAACCCCCTGCTCAATGCAGGATCGGCCTGGAGCATCCCTGACAAGTGTTTGTCCAGACGCGGCTTAAAGACTGCCAGGGAGGGGGAGCTCACCACCTTCCTAGGCAGCTGATTCCACTGTTGCACAACTCTGACTGTCAAAAGGTTTTTCCTAAGATCCAGCCGGTACCTTCCCGCCCTTAATTTAAACCCATCCTTGCGAGTCCTGTCCTCTGCTGCCAACAGGAACAGCTCCCTGCCCTCCTCTAAGTGACATGCCTTCTTCAAATACTTAAAGAGAAAAATCATTCCCACCACCACCTCCTCTTCTCCAGACTGAACATTCCGGAATCCCTCAGCCTTTCCT